TTTTGTAATTTATAATATTTTCAGTCTTTTAAAGAATTTGTATTTATTTGCATGCTTTTATATTTATTGCATGGTGTATGCAATCTTGTCTGTATTAGTGGCATTCAAATTAGTTCTACATTGTTTTGTTGTAAATATTAAGAAATGTGCCTTGATTGATTGGTAGCTAAGAGGGGTTGCAAAGCATTCCTCATTCTGTATTGTAATTATTTTTGCTGCTGTTTTTTTCACATTTGTAAGTTACTATCACATTTGCATATTTCTGGATTAAATTTTTTTTATTCACAGTTTGTCTCTTGTATATCCAACACAAACAGTATAAAATGTATTAAATTATGCACTTAATATTAACTTAAATATTAATTATGGACATCATCATTTGCAAAATACGGGTTGAGGAGCATCTTCTAAAGTTGTGGTTCCCAACCTGTGGGAAGTACACAGAAAAAGTAATCAGTAATGCCAGAAAGTAGATAAAAAAGAAGAGTATTTAAAAAGTTTTAATTTTTCATATAATAAGAAAAGCAACTGAGAAGATATGTCACATGAATTGAAATGTGTACAAAAACAAAGTAATTAGTAATAACTAGCCCTGGCCATACTTGTCGTATTACCCGATTCTTTACACACCATATATCGCATTCCTTTTTCCTCTCTGTCACCATAATAAATGGTGTGTATACACATACATATGCGTATACACCAATATTTTTATAAAATAACATCTTTTCAATATTTAGCGCATCATAAACCATTTATGAAATTCTCTTGCTTTACAGCTGTGTCATTCAAATCTATTTGAATATAGAATATGATTTTAAATTATCTTCTGTTCTTCTAAAGTTGTTGAATGTAAAGTGTTGTTTCTATTAAAATGGATAAGTTGTTAAAAAGTAGATCTTTGCAGAGAACTGAGACTATACTGAATAACTGTACCAAGGCCTTATTAAGACTATTTTAATTATGCGTGAAATTTTATAAGAATGGCTTATTAAATCATATTTTGCAGTTAATAGCCAGGATGGATTTTACTAAAAAGAATAAAATGCTGTCAAATGACTTCAGTTTCTTTATCCCTTATTCATTATACCAAAATAGGTATTCTTAACTTTTGAATATGATTGATCACTGATGTATTTCTTCCTTGCTTCATTCAATGTATGTTGCAACTCAGGAATAGGTTGAAATTTTGACCTGTTCAAAATACAATTAAAGCCATCATATATTTCATTGTCTCTTTGAATTAATTTTAAAAAGTACTTGGACTTGTTTACAACTGGGAACTTGTGAGCTGCTGAGTGGCTAAGAACAGACTGGTAGATTGGTCTTTTTTATGTTTTTTATCTGTGCACATTTAATATACTTTAGTTTTTCTTAAAAAGTCCTCCTCAGACAGACAACTGTTGAGTTTTTACTCTAATAAATACTTAAGTTTAGGAAATTAGTATATAAATCACATTTTGAATTATCATATTCTTGAACTGAGAATAATTGAATTTTCAAGTTACAAACAATTTAGAAATTTTAATCAGTTATCTGTTTAATCAGCAATGCCAAAAGTGGCCAAAACCAGTGCAAAATATGACAATTTTGGTAATAAAAGAGAAAGTTCATTCGAAGCATAATTTTATTATTTCATCATATTAATTTTTCTTTTAGTTGAGTTTCTTCAGATTCTAATACACATCAGTGAAACTACTCGAAGATACCGAATGATTTAAGCCACCTTAAAAAAGTGATTTTTGCTGATGCTCAATGCAAGTATCTAGTATGTTTATATTCTCAGAAATTCTGTTAACTATTTGAGGTAGTTGTCATAAGAGCTTTATTTAATATCAAAATATACACTGTGTTGCTATAATTTTTCCCATTTGCAGTGTTATACAGTATTTTTTATTGTCTAATTTATTAGCAAGCCATTAGAATATTTTTTTTTTTTTTTTTCCATATATTAAGGTTTCCTCTATGGTTTTACATTCTACAGTATTTCCTAAAGATAAGCTTCAAATAATTTAGTTGCATTGTCTGTTTTCCAAGTGTGAAAAGGAGCTGTAATAAAACATCTAGAATTTTTTCTTATAAGGCAACCTTTTTGGTGACTTAATCAATTCCCTAAAATAAATATCTAGAAAGCATAATTATTTAATTACTAGATATATTTCTGATTTTACAAAAACCTTTTCATGATGATATTGAACAGCTCTAACAAAATTCATATTAACCATGTTTATAAAATCCATGAATATTTGCAGAATACAGGAATTATTAAATTGTTGATCTTTCCCGGGCATCTGGTCGGTAAAAGTGTCTGTTTCTCGATGAAGTTTTATAGAATCTGCTTTTTCTTTAAAGACTTATCTTTAGATTCTGCTGGTGCAATTCTTTTGGAGAATAATATTTCTTTAGACATTTTTGTAGATAACCTTTTTTGGGGGTTATTTGAATATTTTGTGAGTAAAGTTAAGCATGCTGCTAATCTATGCATGTTTTAAATTTTTATTAAGTAATATGAAAAAAATAACATTATGTCATTTTTGGAAGCTACCCCTAAATTAATGTATATGCCATGTAAATTATCTTATCGTGATTCATTCATAATTTTCATTCATTGAAGTCTGTATATTTTAATGGAAATGCAATTAAATACTGTGCCTGCATCCACCATTTCACAACTCGCTGTTAAACTGTGACAAATAATATTTTCCTAAAAATAGCGTAACCTGTTAAAAAAATAAATATATGTCTTGTTTAAAACTGACTTTTCACTTTCTCATTTGGAAATTAGTAGCTGTAGAATAAAAAGTCTGCAGCTTCATTTATCTGGGATTGGAGATAAATTATGTAAATGAGATAACTTCTAAAATACTTAAAAAGAATCTCTGCTGCAAATAGTTGTTTTTATGGTCTGAAGAGCTATTTAAAATCCAGCTTAATTAAGTTAGGAAAATCAGAAGTTCATGGTATTTAGTACTTCTTTACAAGAGTTTTATAAGATCTGTCCTGACTTCTGCATCGGAAGCTTGGGTACTGACATGTAGTGAGGAAGTATGGGATATTTGAGAGAAGGATTTTGCATTGCATACTTGTTGGGGTCTGTGTGAATGGATCGTGGAGATCTAATTTAGAGGTATAGACAACCTGATTTAGTAAAATTCTTCATATTGCAGAGATTACTGGCCAGAATGCATGAATTAAATGTACTGGTCATCTAGCTAGAATGCATTAAGATCAGTGTTGTAAGAAATTCTCTCTGACAAAGCCCATGGGAACCAGACCTTGGGGTCTAGTAAGTAAGATCGATTCTGTTGAATATGATGTAAACACTCTAAAGGTCAGAAACTGGAAAATAATTGCCAAAAGCAGAGATGCGTGGAGAAAGCTAGGGCCTGTTGAGCCAATGAAGAAGAAAAATATTTAAACAAGCCCTGGTGATGTTATGTCAGTTTTCTTTCTCTACAAGGATTATTTTTTTTATAAAATATAGTTTATGCAAATAACAGTATCTTTTAATTTTAATGCAGTAAGAATAAAATATACATGGTAAATAAAAAGAATTTTTTAAGTCGATACATAAATGGATTGTGCACTTAGGCAAATGAAAAAAAAAAATTCATTTTCGAATTTTGTCCAAGAAGTATTCCATTGCAGAATTTTATTTCCATTATAAAATTGTTATTGAAATAATATTTTCGCTAATTTTTTTCATTATATCATTCATTTAATGCAATTAATTGTGAAAGAGACAGGAAATCAAATTAACTCAATAACATAGCTTGTTTTAGTGAACAACATATTATAAATTTTATTTAAAAGTTGAATATGTAATAACTTTATTAATTTCTAAGATATAACTTAAATACATATGCTGCCTCTAATTTTTTGTACATTTTCTAGTAAATACTTTTTATATAAGTAATTAATATTTTAATTCTATATTTAATTAATGAATATTGTGTATTGCTTACTAATTATCTTCGAATACTAACATAAAAATAATCCTGGTAATTATATCCTCTAATGACTAGACTGTCATTGAAAAGTCATTAAGATTAAAACCATTATGCTAATTTTCTAAATATTTTAGAATCATCACTTGAACATTATCACCACTAGATGGCGCCACCATGCTATAGTCATGTTTTCTGTCACGTACTTTCTTCAGGCAACCATTTAGTAAAGCTGCTTCAAGCTTCTACATACAGCTTTGCTATTTAGAATAAAAATACTGTTTTACACAGTACTTGATTAAATATTCGGATCATGTAGTTATCAAAATGTAATACGTGAATACTCAAAATTTCAAAGCTTTTCTCGCTTCAAAGAATTAAATGTTATGTATATTAAACCAAATTCGTACTAAAATGAACTGAAGTGAAAAAAAAAATTCCGTTTCAGAAGTGGGATTTGAACCCACGCCCACATTCTAACGCAAGCGTCTAAATACAGCAGGGTCACAATGTGGCGTGCATGCGCAATATGATCTGCAACAATATGAGGGGTTGTAACAATTTGGCGATGATTTTTGTTCATCACCACCGAAGTCACAAAGCGGTGTGTTGGCGTGATTTTCGCGTATATCGTTGCAAACGAATAAACTTAACACATTTAAAGTTAAAAGTAAATTGGAGGCAATTCGTCAACAATATTAATTATTGCATCCTTGTAAAGGGAATCTAAACAATTCAAAATATAAATGATCATAGTAGTACAAACTCGAAAACTAAACATGCAAAAAGGGATAAAAACAAGATAATAAAAATTAATCTCCCATTATTAAAACTCCAATTCAGAACTCATCAGGGGGGAAATAAATTAAAGCTTCATAAAAGTTGATTAATATGCTTTGGAAACGTGTTTCGTTTTCCCGATAAATTTGAGATCAAAAACCGAAAAAACGTCATCAACATGCCGAAACTGAACTGCTTCGCAAAATAACTGTAAAATGTCCATTATGTAATGATGAAGTGGAAAAAAAGGACTTTTCATTGCACTGCCAATCTATGCATGCTGTAAACATCAGTTCTCCAAATTTAATATTTAAAACCCAGGAGGATTTCTACCAATGGAAGCATGATATTGAAATAAATACGAATTCAACATATGTTTTAGAAAGAGGCACACAAAAAAATAAATTAGGTATCCAGAAACGTTATTTCCATTGTCATCGTTCAGGAAACTTTAACAGCAAAAGTAAAGGGTTGAGAAACCTGAAAATTCAAGGAAGTAATAAAATAAATGCATACTGTCCCTCTTCTATAACTGTTACAGGAACAGAAAATGGTTTGCATGAGGTTAATTTTTTACAAACGCATATTGGTCATTCTAATGACATTGGGTATTTAAACCTTTCAAAGAATGATCGAGATAAAATAGCAACAAAAGTTCCATTTGATTCTATATTAGATGAACGCAGAGATTCAGTATCAGAGTCAAATCTTCAAAGAATTGATCTTTTAACAAACAAGGATTTACATAATATTGAAAAGAGTTTTAATTTAAATGCTACTGCTGTTCGAGCATCAAAATGATGGGAATTAGCATGGAGGCATGGATTAATGAAATGCAGGCAAATGAAAATTCTAGTGTTTTGCTATATAAACCTCAAGCCACTATTTCAAATGATCAAGAGTTTATTAAGAAAAGATGATTTTGTTTTAATCATCATTTATGAGGCACAGTATGATATGCTTAAAATGTTTGGATCAGACTCTATTTGTGTAGATAGCATCCACGGATTAAATAGGTACTCATTTGAACTTACATCATTGGTTGTAATTGACGACATGAGGCAGGGTTTTCCTTGTGCGTTTCTGATCTCAAATCGAACTGACCAGTATGTTATTTCATTATTTTTCTCAACAATAAAAAGAAAAACTGGAAAAATAACGCCACGCATTTTTATGTCAGATATGGCAGAAGCATTTTATAATGCTTGGGTAGCAACTATGGATGCACCCAAAATGTGTCTATTTTTTTCTTGGCATGTTGATCATGCATGGAGGAAAAATTTTTAAAAATAAAATGCCACCTCAAGCAAGGAGAGGTATATAAAATTCTTCGAACCTTGCTCGAGGAGCGAGATGAGTAGGCAACTTTTTAAAATGTTTAGAAAATGTCATTGTATATTTGGAAAATGATCCAGGAATTTCAGAATTTTCATCATATTTTAAAACGTACTATACAAAAAATGTAACTACTTGAGGCATATTGCCATAGGATGCACAGTGGCCTAAACACAAATATGCATATTGAACGCATGCATCGTACTATTAAATATATTTATTTACAAGGAAAGACTGTGAAAAGGCTTGATAAAGCTATTCATGCCATCATGCTTTTCGTACGGGATAAACTCTTTGACAGACTGCTAATTCTAAATAAAGGAAAGCTAAAAAGTAAATTAAAGGACATAAGAAAACGTCACAAAGAAAGTCTTTCTTTTAAATCACCAGTTGTGCAAAATGAAAATAGCTGGAGTGTGCAATCTTCAAGAGGTTTTGAGATTTATGAAATTAATGAAAACATTACTGAATGTAAATGCCAGTTGATATGCAGTTATTGCAATATTTGTATACACCGATTATCTTGCACATGTGCAGACAATGCCATTAAATGGAATATGTGCAAACATATTCATTATATTTCTTTTATATCAATCAAACAACAGGAAGTGATAACAGCAGTTATACTAATGAAGAAAGAAGTATTGTTGAAACTGATGAGACAAATATGATATTAGTAAAATTGATTGTAGGAAAAAATGTCACCCGGAAAAAAGGGAAACGGAAAGAATATCCCCGGAAAATAAGGAACGGAAAAAATGTCAACCTTCATTTGCAATGGGAAATATAAGGCATGTTTAGAAAGATCGCCAATCTGGGTGATAAAAGTTTTATCTCAACAACCGTAACTTCGGAAGACCGGAAACATGTGCGAGTAGAAGCAAGAAGATGTGTTGGCTGCTTGTTTCTTCCGTGGAGCCTACCTCCATAGTTTCTTCTCTAAGGTTAAAAATAGAGGGTTGTTTAGAGAGGGAAGCTTTCGCGATGGACGCCAGGGGGGAGAAAGCGGGTTGTTTAGCCGAAATACCCTTATATGCGGTCAGGTCGTAAATTTAGAACCCCTTTTTTCACAGGGGGGGCTGAAAAGTAGGGAGTAATCTTGCTCGGGGTCTTGGGGGTCGTTTAAACATCTAACTTCTCCACATTCAGTTTTATACAGAGGAAAATACAAATTGAATTCTTCGAATGAATGCAGTTTTGTACAATGAAAATGTATTACTTAATGATAAACTGTAAGATAAATAACATCTTTTTTTAAGCCATAGGTGTAGAAAGACAGATATTTGTTACATCGAATGAATTTGTAGTTAATACATTGAGTTTTTCATTTCGAATGCTATGTTCCATGTATGCGGAAGTAGCTGAGTATCTAAAAAAATACTCATAAACCGAAATGGCTTTCAACCTTTTCACGTCTAAGGACTGTTTCTCAATTACATTGTGGTCGCTGCTTTTTGGTTAATTTTCTAATGACATATAACCAATAATTCTTTTTATTTGAGACTTATGAATAAAATAACGCAAACTAGACTGCCGAAAATTCTTCAGATTGAAGGAAGTTAAATAATACTGAAAGAATACATTATTGATGCACTTTTGTGTTTAATATGTAGTAGTATTAACTACTACTATAATCCTTAAATGAAATCCTTAAATTATATATACATGTATCTATGTATAGGTATATATAAACGGAACCAATATATAGAACAAGTTATAAAATATCAAAGGAAAAATAGCCTTATTATACAATGTTCATTACCATACGTATATTTACGTAATATCAATATAAATGGTTAGTTAGGTTTCGTACATATATAATTTATTTTTATATTTTGTATTTTTTGTATTAGATTCAGTATTGTAAACGTATCTGAAGTTTAATTTGTCCTCTTTTTGGGTTACGATTTTAAGTGAGAAAGAATTGTTAGGGCCTTCATAGGGATTACATTATATACAATCAGTTAGGATCCTACTTTTCCTTTCTTTTAATCATTATATATATTGAAATATTACTTGATAAGTATACGTAAAATATAGCAGTTTTTAAGCTACTTATATCTATTGTTTGGTCTGGTTTCTTTGATTATAGCAAAGCATTCGACTGTTATTTGCCTAAGGGTAAGGGTGCCTCGTGGAGAACTTTCTAAGCAAAACTGACTCTTATGCACGTTACACGTGGGGAAAACCTCGAAAACGCCAATACAGCCATCCCCGTCGATCCGGATTCGAACCCCGGATCGACCAGCCAGAGTTCAACGACTTTACAGCTCAGCCGCTAGTGAGCTACACACACACACATCCACATATATACATTAAATAGTATTTACATGTCGTTTATAAAGTATAATTGAGTGCAATTTAATCATAAAGAGAAATATTCTACGGAATTACTTCACTTCGTAGACTTTCTGCTAAGCTTCACCATATTTTCTGGAAAGAGAATCTCAATGCTAGTTCCATTTCCAAGCCGCTTATGTACTTTATTTTTTATGCTTTTAATTATATTTAGAAAATTATTTCAACTTGGTTTATAGCTGAAAATGCAGTTTTTTATATTGAAGAATTTAAGGGTAAGAAGAGAGTAATTATGCCCTTTTCTTAATTATTCTTGAAGCATTTAAATTTTTTTTAAAAAAAGGCACATTAATACGGATCACTGAACTAAGTGCGCGATACGGGACAGATTAATTAGCTACTAAATTTTGATTTTCATTGAGTAAAAATGAAAGAATTCATCTGCATTCTATAAGAAAGCAAATATTCAAAAAATGTTTTTTTTTTTTTTTCTATTCTCGCAGTCATAATATTTTTCTTAAATATTCAGCTAATTCATATTCAAATATTCCCTAATCCATTATAATTAGTAATAAATCGATACAGTAAATAAATAATTAAAATCAATTAAATGGAATTTTAATTGATTTGCCAGTATAATGTTAATTGCCATTTTCCCTCTGATAAACCCCTCTTTATAGGGTTCTAACCTGAGTTCAATAGCAGTCGATCAGCTTCATTGTTGGGGTCATTTTCTTTATGGTATACTTACGCTATACATATGTATGTATTATGTATTGCTCATACTCGTCAATTGCAACTTTTAATATCTTTTGGAAAAAAATCAAATATGAGGAATCCCAGAAAATGATTTTTAGTGACGCTAAAACTATTATTACTAGGCACTGTTGTCATGCCACAGTGTTTAAAAAAAAAATCCCATTGTTTAAAGGTAGATTCTATGCTCATATCCTAGTCTAAAATTAAAAGCTGCGAGTCAAAATTAAGGGGGTTGCTCTTAGAAAGCCTCAATTAAAAGTAGTTATATGAAATGTTAATCAATACTTATAATCTTACGGATTAAACACTTATTCCCTATTTGATCACGTGTATGGCAAACAGATATTCGTCATTCATAAAGAAAGAAAGGTGAATCAAAATTAGTTTTTCAAGCCCTATCGCATACATTAGCAATACTTATTCTCGTAATAACAGATACGTATGTGTTATTCTCTTCGTAATTTTCAGTACATATATTTATATTTATAATTAAGAAATGAAAGCAGCGTCAAACAGCTGTGAAAATTATATTTTAAAATTATTATTTAGAAATGCGCTTATAATGGTTTTTATATTTACGAAAGATACTTCCCGTTTACTCAGGCTCACTGTATTCAAGTCGATAGGACCAATTGAATGGAAAGATCGATTAATTCATTCCCAAGTTTCAAATCGGATGAATGGACTCGCGAGTAAAATGGCACATTAAAATACGGTCACTGAACTACAGTGAGCTATGAAAATTTTAACAAAGGTTTCGTTACTTTATCTTATGAAAACAAAGCATCAGAATCTAATTAAATGTTTCACTTATTTCTTAGAAAAATAAAATAAATGCAAATATTTGTGAATAAAAAAATATCTTTAAAAAATAACATTTTGATTTAAATTTACAAAAATATAATAATTACAAAATATTGCAGAAATTACAATAAAATGGCGAATAAACTTATTCGGCACAAGCTCGCTAAATGTAAAATAGAATTGTGCAGTCAGAAAGCTCTCTTTGTCACACAAATGTATTGTTCATTGGGTTTAAAGGTTTATTCAGAACTAACGTGCGAATTTCAGTGAGTAACATGTATTTTCCTTTTGAATGTATAAACTAGCCAAAAAACACTTTAAAAAAAAAAAATATATCTCCCCTTATGATCCCTGACACAGCCGTTTACTTTCCCCTTCCGTAATTAACGTCAGTCTCCTGCTCTTGACCGCATTTGCCATGCCACCGTTTAGCCAAAGGTCCAGCGTCGGTCATTGTCAGGTCTTTAGTAATTACTCTCCTCGCACTGCATGTAGTTATAGCCTTAAGCTGCGCTTTAGTGAAACATTTATTGACGCACAACAGAAAACTAATTCATCCTGAGCTTTGGTATAAGAAACAGTTGTAGATGCAATTTCAAGTTACG